CCTTGAGTCACTGCATGCATATTTCTATGCTAAATCCCCCAGGCTAATCTCCAGTGTCGGAAAGCCCCAGCCTTCTAAATTTAAAACACCACTGCTATGCATGAAGATGGCTTTCATCAAGAAATGCACACCTTAATAATTCACACATCACTGTTGTCACCTACCCTATGATCGCAAGGTGTGAGGACAGTACAACTGTGTTACAGCTCCTGGAGTACACATTGTGATCTTAACAGGATCCAGGCTAAATGCTTCCGAGATATCAAAAATAAATCTAAGGCAAACTTCTAAGGACTTCTGCCTAACTTTTTAAACCTCTGCATCAGATTGTTACAGTCACTAACGCGCTCCTAGCTGCTATATGCCACACACCGCAGGTGCACAAGGACATTTTGAGAGGCTTCCAAACACTTTGAGGTTTGTGATACAGATTCAGCTTGGGTCACCTGAAACTTTACAGCACAGGAGATGCTAAAAAGAACTACAGCTGCAGCCTAATGCACAGGTCAAGCCACTGCAGCTTTAGCTGATTAACCACTGGTGTGAAAAATTAGAGGAACTTCTGCTTGACATTCCATGCCTTAATGGGTAATTTATAAAAGATTAATATCAGAATCTTTCCTTCTAAGAATAGTACCTTTAATTAATTATGTTGTAAGTTCTATTAATAGTACCTTTACTGAAAAGGCTGCAAGTTCTCTTTCCCTTCAATATCTCAAAAATGCACTTAGAGGTTCAAATTGGAGTTGGTAATAGGCAAACTAATCAATATAGAAAATAAATCAGTTGATTCATTTTGTTAAGCTGGCCAGTAATTCATCAAGTAAACATCATTAATTGGTTGAAAGCCTCAAAAGAAGTAGAGCCAACTACCAGAAAGACCATTTTAAGCTCCTAAGAGCCACATTTCCTTGAACAGCTAATTAAAAGAAGTCCTTGACAAAACTGTCAAGTGTGCACCAGCTCTTTCAGCCCCGTCACCCAACGCACACGTAGACAAATTTGCACTCCAGTGCTGCTGTAAAGATTCTTGCTGTTTGTTGGGCCCCTAAATTTAATCTTCAGTCCAGTTAGTGCAAGTTCCTACCTGATACCTTTCAGGAATTCACTGGCTGCAGTATTAGTTTCAATCCAAAGTTTTTGTCCAGTTCCCCTGACAGCTGTTATTAGTGCAGTGTCAGACTTCAATGATGGGGTGGGGAGAAATCACTTAATGGAGCTACTGAAGGAAGGGTCAACCCCATACATTTCATGGGAGGGGTGTGCCTAAGGCAGAAATAAAGGGAAGGGGTTGATGTCTAAATAATATAGCACGATTTCTTAAAGGTAGTCCATTTGGACTCTGCTCCAGGCAACAGAATGTCTTGAGACAACACTGCTTGGACAACACTGGAATATTGGAAGGCCTGGAAAATACTGGAGAAAATGGGAAATAAAACCAAAACTATTTGAAACACACACACACAGAGCCCTGAAAATAGACAGGAGTTTTGTTTAACTTTTTAAAAGGGCTTTTTTTTTTTTTTTACAATTTTTCCCTCAGACTTTTGCATTTCTATTCATGTCTCATGGTAAGGAGAGTTTCTCAACTGGGAGGCCACTTTTGTCCATTATATTACAAAATATAGTTAAGAGGATGCTCCCATCCATGACAGTACAGACCCCAGAGTCAAACTTGAACTAGTCCCAGAGCTAAGTCAGGCGGCCATAAAATGTCCCTGGACACTTATCTCAGGCCTAGTTCAAGCACGCTTCACAAAATGGTCCAAATTCTCAATGGGGGGCTGGTTTATTATAGAATAGTAAAGTTGGTAGGGGGCCATCAGGTCCAACTCTCTGCTCAGTGAAAGACTCCAAGTTAAATCATCCCTCTCAGATGGCTGTCCAGTTTAACCAATCTGATTTGCCTTCCATCCTGGCAACTGTCTGGCTCCTTTAAAGGTTGTCCTTCATGTCATGAAATGTGAAATACTTCTCTCAGCATCTATAGCAGTCACATAAAAACACCAGTAACTCCAAAAGGCATAAATTATCAGGGTGCATCTCAACCCAGAAAAGGAGTACAGTTTGGGCCATGTAATTCCAGTACATCAGTGTACAGCTAACCCTTTATGGAGACCATCACCACCCAGGCAGAATCATCTTTCTGAACAACTGTTAGTCTTTAGTTGAGGTGACTTAGGGCAGAATGGAGAGCAGAATCCTGTTTTTGTTTTGTTTTGGAGACTATGCAGTACCTTCCAGATGCCTCAACCTACAACTTCCATAGGCTGGGGCTTATAGGATCTGAAGTCAGAAACATTTGGAGCAGGCTGCTGTGGTAGACAAGGAAATCTGAATTTAAATGCCAACTCAAGCCATTAAACTCACTTGAGCAAGTCATTCTCTAGGCCTAACCAATCGTTTAATTCTAACAAAGTTTCTTTTGCACAGTGTTTAATCTGTACCTGTCATGAAACAATGGAGGGAAATTGCACGCACACCCCTCTTTCCTTGGCTGACATTGGACCAACAAATGTGTTTTGTGGTCGAAAAACAGAGAAGAGTGCAAACTTTTAAGTTGGTTAAGAAAATGAAAAATGCCAAAAAAAACCAGGGAAGGAGAAACTGCTAGCCATCAGGGCCAGCACCTCTGCATAGCCAGCAGAGGAAGTCTCAATGGCATAGCTGAGAAAGGAAGCTGGGTAGGAAGGAGATGGAGGGCTGGGACCACAGGGTCTGTACCTCCATTCACAAGACTAACTTAGCCCAACATGGTTTTTAATGCTTCTTTTTAGGTGGTCAATGCATTTTGACCAGCTCACTAGTCTACTCCCGTCCCACCCCAGCGACCCAGGGTGGAAAGGGCCAGGGCTTTGAAGTTGCACAAAAGCTAGGATTTTGTTGCCTGGAGACAGAAAGGAATGCGCTGCAAGCTGGTAGCTGGGCTTGGATTCTCCCCTGATCAGCAGCACAGTGAACTGCAAGAGTGGCAGCTCTCAAACAGTACGTGGGGGGGGGGGGGCATATGAATAGCTGTCCTCTGAAAGAGGCACTAATTCAACCCCTCTTAATTTGCCTCTCTTCCCTAAAGTTTACTTGATTGTTCTGCTAAAGTTTTTGTTTTGGTTCTTTGAAAAAGAAAAAAAAATCTCAGGTTATTAACTGAATGAGTTGTCTGCCTAGGCTTGTTTACAAGTGAAACGACAAGGAAAAAGCACTGTTTTCAGAAGAGCAGATGCTTTGGGCATAACCACCATTTGAGAAGAGGCCTTCCCTCCTATCTGTTTAATCAAATGAGAAAACACCTCTGGGATACACCTGACCAGCACTGGTTTTGTTTCAGTTACAGGTACTTATAATCACAAGATTCTGTTGACCAGTTCACCATGGGAGCCTTTGAAAAGAATGCAGTATTACTAAATTCAGTTGACTAAACCAAGCAAGCAAATGTCATAGCCCTAATTCAAACATTTCGGTCTCAGAGAGTCGCTTCTGCGACCCATGCACTCACCTAACCAAGGGGCCTGATGAAATGCACAGACCACTCCTCTCTTTTCCCATTTTGTTACAGACATAAGAAAAACCATCCTGGCTCAGCACAATGGTCCATCCAGTCCAGCACTCATTTCACACAATGGCAAATCAGCTGCTAGATGGAAAAGTTAATGAAGCATCACCCAGGTCTCTGTAACAATTAATGGAAAAACAGGGAGCAACTGATTTCTTTTTAAAAAGAAAGAACAACTGGAACCTTTGTCTTTTTTTATCCCAGGTATGTCCAAATTCACCATTCCAGGTTTGGTTACTCAATGTGAGACTTTCAGATGCTGTCAACTCGTCATTGTATAACATATGCTGGGAACCAGGCAGGGAAATGGATTACCAAGCTAAACGCCAGTACAAAATCAACCCTGCAAGGGATAGTCTAAATGTGCACTCAGGTTTGCTTAAAGTGGGCCAATGACTCCTCAAGACTCTTTAATTGCTGTGGAAAACACACAACTTCAATAGTTGCTAATACAGAAGAGGGAGAGCCATTCTTCCAGCATGGTAAGCTAAGGGCTGCAATCTTGCAAACTTTAGATTCTGTTCATCCTTATTTTGAGAGCTATGCCCAGTTGCACATATCTTTACTTTACTGCATCTAGGACACAAAACATCCCTATAAAATGCATACTGCTCACACACATGAACTTGGGTCTCCTATTAATATTACCATTGCAACAGAAACGCAGTATCTAGCCAGTGTTGAGAGGCAAGATTCTGGACAAGATGGACCTCTGATACAGTAGTGGGTCTTCTTATGTTCTTAAGAGTTGCCCTTGTCCAATATCTCACCACCATTATTCAGAATGGAGAAGGAATTCACAATCAAAATCTTTCTGGCCAGGAAGCCGTAATTTTAAAAAGCTATATGAGGATTCAAAACTCACTTATTATGTTTAAGACACAAGGAAGAAAGCAAGCACAGATTTGCTTTCTCAATGAAAAGGCTGATAAACAAAGACTAACTGCCCAGCTGGTCACCTAATTGGAACTCTTTGAAAAGAAGAAAAATACCAATTCATTGCTGCCTCATTCATTAGTCAATGGAATACTAGGCATTTGGGAGGAATGGGGTCGGCAGGAGATTAAGGTATTTAATTAGAAGCGTTATCTATGTTTTCTACTGCAGAAATTTCTGAATGGCCTTTTGAGCCCTGAACTGGCAAATATTCAGTTCCTAATAATCTGTGTGACAACTTTATCAAGAAAGGATCAAGAGCCATGGAAATGCGAGTTGAACAGCACAATGTACATGGAAGGCATTCGAACAGAAAGGTTGAGCTCAAGGTTTGGGGAGCCCTGAGTGGGAACGTGACTGTGGGAAGACTACGGCACTGAGCAAGGGTTGCAGACCATGCGTTCCTACTGGTATACAACTGCCTGCACAAAGGGCATTCCTCCACCAACCTAGAGCCACAATGATCTAGAGAGCCTACACGAACTGTGGAAGAACATGGACAGCGGTTCTGTACCAGGAGCTCATCCATGCTGGTCTGACATTTCTCGAGATTGATCCGCTTAATCGCCACTTTTTCTTTCTTCGGACTACAATAGGCTGCTTGCACCACTGCTGTCGCGCCACTCCCTGCAAGAAGAAAAAGAAACACAAATGTGCAAAGTGAGGAAGATGCTATTCAGTAGTAGATCGGTCGTTTCTCTTTGCAAGGAGATTCAAAATGGTGTCCTAATAGCAGTTTTGTCTTCTAGAACAATCTGTCAAATCCAAAACCAGCCATGCATTGCATTACTTACAAACTGTTCATGAGTACAAACTGTAGTTTTTTCATTGCAAATACATATGAACAGAAGCCTGAACCTTTTCCATGGTATTTCAGAGAGAAAAGTTGCTGTTTACAAACATGACATTAATAAATGCCACGATGTCTATTTTATATTTATGCATGGTTCCTGAGTGCATTATGGTTATGAAGTCCAATACTTTTTAACGTATTGATACTTTGTTTTATGAGCAGCTAGCAAAATTCAGATAGGACAGATAAATCAAATGGGTTCAAAAGCAGACTCCCAAACCCTAACATGAGTAAGGAAGAATAAAGAGTAGCTGCAGAATATGTCAACAAATCAATGCAGTAAAACTCAACTAATCAAACGGAAAATGTTCAACCATGGAAGGCACCAAAGCTCTATAGAATAATATTGCTTCCAAACAGCACCTGAAAGTCAACATAGAGGGTACAGAGTAAACTTCCCCCTGCAAGGAGTTCCAAAGTCTCACTGCTACTGCTGAAACAGGAATTCCCTGCTGTGCTTTAAAATGGGAAGGGGCCCAAAGCCAAGCTTCTAGGGAAGTTCTCTAACTATAATCAAGTTTGCAAGAAAGGAGGTGGCAGTCTTTTTGTTCAGGGGAGGGCATAAATTATATCAGGATCAGACAGCTTAATGATTTGTAAAGGCGCATCAAGTTTCTTTCTGACTCTCCACTGTTTAGTAATAGCAACAAAAAGGCTTTTCCCCCTTCTGAACTGGGCTGTTAGAAAACATAATCCATAGTAAATCAGGTGTAGATCTTATGCTTGTTTATGCAGGGGCAGCAGGAAGTTAGGCTCTGCTTCTGAAACACGCTATTGCCCCTGGCTCCAGCCAGTGGAACTTGAAGATCTAGTTTTTGGGTTTTTTTTAATTGAGCCCAAGGGAACCTGAAGTCTACCTACCCAGTTAGCTAATCTGGAATCAGACAATTAAGAGATTTAGAACACTGATACCACTACTGCCTGCCCATGTGGGGAGTCTTGCCTTGAGATATGTGCCTCCGCTTCTCTCATCTCAGCATGTCAGCATGGCCCCTCCTCCCAAACGCCTTCTTCATCTGCTTCACATTCTGATTCTTCTGAAACCCAGCCAGTGGTCCTTGAGAAAGAGTGCCCAAAGCCACGCTCTGTCTCGCTCCCAACATCTACTATCCAAGAGCTGTGAAGATGGTGGGCATGTCGTGAGCGGGACATGCACATGGTGGGCATGTCGTGAGCGGAGCCGGCTGGAGCTGAGGGTCAGACTAGATGGCCCGGGAGACCCCTTCTGACTCACTCTGTTTCTATGCACAATAATAAGAGGCACGATTCACTGCAGTAAAATCAATGCTGTTGAGCTGGCCCAGTAATTATCAATGCATGAGAGGACTGTCCTAGTCAAATGGAACAGTGCTTCAGAAAGGTGGAAAGGGTTGCTTAACTTTGCAGAGGTCTCGCTTCAGTCCCACTCATGTTCACCTCTCTAACACACACACACAGGATGTACCCACTTCAATTTTCAATGAATGTGTCAGAGTTATTTAAATAAATGACAACTGCAGGAAGAATTACAATTGCTTCTAAATGGAAATCACCAGAATCCCCAACAATGAAGAATGGAAAAAGAAGCTGGCAGATTACACAGTGATGGCAAAATCAACTATGTATATAGAAACAAAGAAACAGAGCAAGTCAGAAGGGGTCTCCCAGGCCATCTAGTCTGACCCCCGGCTCCAGCCGGCTCTGCTCACGACACGCCCACCATACTCATGTCCAGTTGAAGAATTTAATAACAAATGGAAATTCTATTATACACAGTACAATTAATGGGATGTAAAAGGGAGTTCTTTAAAGGGCAGTTGAGGATCTATAATTGACTTAAAATGATTGAAATCTTTTTTGGTGTACAAAACAACAACTTTTCTGAACTCCCATAGAGTGCTGAATGACAGAAAGATAAATTTGTCAGCTTGAAGGTATTAGTTGTAATTGTTTAAAATCCTTTGGCAACATTATTCTATTTTACTATCTAACTATCTAGTTCTTTTTTGTATTCTGTTTATGCTAAGAAAATAAATATAAAATAGTTGGGGTCTGCCTAAGGTTACGGGGTGGGAAGCCCTGCCTTCACTCCAGTAGCATCTCGTAGCTCACATCCCTGTGTACAGCACAGAGGTCATTCATAGCTGATCTTTGACCTATGAGAGGCCCCACAATTTCCAATGAAATGAGATCTAAAATAGCAGGACTGCAAGAGTCCTCCAAGGAAAAACATGAGAAAGCTGCACTGGGAAAACTTTTCCTGGACTGCATCACTTTAGGCTGCTGGTCAGAATGTAGCTTCTGTTCGACTGACAATACCTAGGTTTTCCCTAAATGTTTGGTAGTGAAGGAATATTCCCTACCCTGAATCAAAACCTGAAGGTACATTTTCTCCCCCAAATCTTTTAGAGTATGTAAGAGTGCCACTTTCCTGCAAGGAACCCACATGCTAAGTTCTTGCATGAAGCCCTGTTCTAAGCATTTCCCCTCCGAAAGCAAGTAACTGTGTTGTAATCCAAATCAAGCCTAAACAATATTTGCCTTTCATTTTACACTATCATTTCCTCCACACTACCTTCAAATATTTTGGAAGAGCCAGTGTGGTAAAGTGGTAAGAGTGCAGGATTGGGACTCAGACACTCCAGATTCTAGTTCCCACGCAGCGATGGAGCCAACTGGGTGGCTTTGGGCCAGTCACAGATTCTCAGCCTAACCTACCTCACAGGGTTGTTGTGGGGGTAAGATGGGGAGCAGGAGGAAGAGACAGTAGATAGCTCTAATAAATAAATTTTGTCATCCCCAGTTATTAATGTGTGAATAATGGGACTTTCAAGTCAACTCTTTCATAAAACGTTCATTTTGTTTAAGTCACAGGGATTCATGCCAGTGAACAGGCATTTGGCAGCAACACCACTTGCAAACTGAAGAATGGTGCATTTCCAAACCGCCTAAGAAAATGTTAATAAAACGCATAGCTGCAATTCCTGAAATGACTGTGTTGCTATGGCACTTGAATTGTAAAATTCCTCAGCAGGGGCAAGACAATATGAAGGAAACCAGCAAAAGGGAAAAGGGGCATTCCAAAATAAATTAAGAGAAGACATATAAGGATCTCTCATTCAATCCCCACCATCCCGAGGTAAGGCTGGAAAAATTACTGCCTAAAGACCTGGAAAAATGCTGCCAACCAGTATCAACAGTACTGGGCTACATGAGCAAAGACTCCGATTCAATACAGTTTCTATGTTACTCTTTATCCCTCATCCCAAACACACAAAACACAGAAAACCAAAAACAGAGAACCAACACCAAAAACACTGAAGTGTTAAAGTTGCCTTTTTCAACCCAGTGTCCTGGAAATATATTGTATTCCAAGTCCTATCAAGTTCTCTGTGTGATGGGGAAGCCACAGAATGGTCTTCAATGAGGAAAAAAGATCTGAGGGGGGGAAAGCAACCCAGTTCTCCCCATTCTGCTCCAACAAGGCCAAGCAGACTTGTCTGCGAGAAATGGATAAGCCCAGCATGACACCATCCTGTTGCTGAAGCTGAGAGTTCCGGCCCAATCAATCACCCAGGACTGAGCACCCAGGTGCTCAGAGCTCCATGAAAGGCAAGAAAAGTAAGATCATAAATAAAATGCACATGCTTTGCATAATCTAAGATGTAAGAAATACTTAGCAACACAATTCTTCAGAGCTGAGCACTCTTCTTGAAGGACACTTCCTTGCACTTCCCCATTAACAGCAACGAAAAAGCTTTCATCCTCCTCTGAATATAGGTTTAGTGAGGTAGAAGTGGGGCGGACAACTTCCAAGTTGAGATGGCGAAGGGAGATTTTCTTTGCATACCCTTATCATGAACACGAGTCAGCGGCTTCATGCCTTGCTTTGAAAACGTATCAAAAAGGATCATGTTAGTCCTCCAGTAACTGGAAAAAGAGCTACGTACAAAAACATCTCTAGACTGATAGTTTTGCAAAGCTACAAAGGGGAATAACAGGCGATTTATGCACCCTGCCATGTTTATTTACCCCCAACACTATTAACGTGTTCAAATTAAGTTTGCCATTTGAAAATCAGCAATAATTCTCTCTTGCCTTTGGCCAAGCTCCCTCTGGAGCCAATTTAAAGGGCACCTGAACTATCTGGTGTTAATTCTCCAGGATGGAGGGAGAGGGATTCCTTAGTTCCACTTCCAACACAGAGCAACCGGATCAGAATGCTGTGTCATTCTCGTTTAATTGCCCGCAGCTGTCTTTACAGAAGATGCCACATCAAATGTCACACCAATTGTATTCATGCCTTAATGCTGCTGTGCTCAAAACTGTTCTTATGAAGCAAAACCTACTGTGCAGCCAAATCTGTATCTCCCCATTCCTCCCCTGCCTCTGAATTGCCTCCTCCCCAAATGTTGATGATCTCTTGTAAATAATATTTTAGTTGGCTGGTGTTCTGCGACGTTGGCAGTTTTCAAAATGGCCACCTGGAGACCCTTCTTACTCACCACAGGTGGCCAAGCAAAGGGCCACTTACAAGCCTGCATTTGAGTAAAACTATGTTTGGTTTAAACTGCCATCGTAAGAGGCGTGAGGCAATGTGGTGTAAAATGGAAAGCTCTGGGTTCAAGAGCTGCTTAGTTATGAATGTCTCGGGGCACCAGCTAGTAAGAACAGGACTGACAACCCCTCACAGTGTCATCATGAGAAGAACGAAAGCACTAGAGCGGAATTACTGTCCTCCAGATCTTTTGGACTACAACCCTCAGATTTCCTGATCAGTGACTATGCTAACCCG